TTTTTTTTTTTCCCGGTACCAAGGATTGAACTCAGGACCCTGCGCTTGCCAGGCAAGCACTTATTCTACTGAGCTATCTGCCCAGCCCACGAATGTATATTGTAAAGTGGAAATAAATTGTTCAAAATGTAAGAGGAACTAAGGAAGGGAAAAAGGAAGGAAAAAATTAAAAAAGCAATTAAAAGGATAAATTGGAAACAAACCTTTGTATTTAAGGAGAGGAAGAGAGGCAGGGAGGGGAGGAGATGGGGGAAAAGAGAAATCAAAATATATCATGTATGGGTACAAGTTCTCTGTGATGAATCTAATCATGCGTATCTAAAAATGTACCAATAAAATTTTAAAAATGTACCGATAAACTTAATTTTTAAAACTGACTTTGGCCGGCATGTCACAGTAGCAAACCTTGCAGGGGGTGAGTGAGCAAGACCGAGAACTGTGGGGCAAGGTTAAGTTGGCTGGGGGAGCCATGCAGACCTCTCTTGGCTTTCTAGGAAGACACATTTATGTAGTTCTCATTGTCAGACCTTGTACATGGCCAGGCATGGTGGTGCATGTCTATAACCCCAGCACTCAGGAAGCTGAAGCAGGCTAGCCTGCACATTCAAGGCCAAGCTGAGATGCTGCATAGCCAGTTCAAGCCCACCCTGACCTATAGAGAGAGACCCTGTCTCAACATACAAAAACCAAAGAGTCCTTGTGAATGATGTTGAACTTTTTTCCCCTTTCAGCTATGAAAGACCCCACAGCTGTAGAGAGAGCAAATTTGCTCAACATGGCTAAACTGAGCATCAAAGGGCTCATTGAGTCCGCCCTGAGCTTTGGCCGCACACTGGACTCGGACTACCCGCCCTTGCAGCAGTTCTTTGTCGTCATGGAGCACTGTCTGAAGCACGGCCTCAAAGGTGATTGCTTTGGGATGCCCCCCTTCTGTCTCAGATGTTCTTAAATGTGTATTTTTTGAGGTCATATTTACTGTTATTTTTATTTTTGGTACTGGAAATCAAACTCAAGACCTCACCAGGCAAGTACAATATCACTGAACTATATTCTCAGCTGTTTTTGTTTTTGAGACAGGGTGTCGCTGTGTAGTTCACGCTGGCCTCAAACTCATTGTGTACCCCAGTCTGTCCTCACACTCTTGGCCATCCTAATGACTCAGCCTCCTGAGTGCTGAAGTCACAGGGGTATGCCAGCATGCCTGGCTCATTACTGTTATTTTGCATTTAGAAATATTGAGTGGATTCATTTTGAAATTAAATATTACTGTTTTACCTTTTCTCATTGGTGATCTTCAGAGAATGCATTGTGTGTGTGTGTGTGTGTGTGTGTGTGTGTGTGTGTGTGTGTGT